CACGTCGTCATCAAGGTCTTCATAATAATCAGGGATATCGCCCTCTACGATGTCTTCATCATCTTCGAATTCCTCGTTACTGTCTGAGGCTTGGCTACTCATATCCACAGACATAGCCCTCTGGGCCGACCTTTCCCTGACTGACAGATGCTCTCCACTAATCGGCAGCTACGGAGCTGCTCCTCTGCCCCAGATTGCACCACCAATCCCAGGGGGGCCTGTGGCTTTTAGCAGCAGCGAAAAAAGCAAAAGAAATCACACTCCCCGTCACTCATGAGGAACTGGAGAGAGGGATTAGCTCAGTCAGAGAAAAAATACTGAAAGAGAGAGAAAAAAACACATAATTTTGTATATTATAAAATTTCTCACAACCTTATAGTGTCTAAATGTCTAAAAGCTTATGCTTAAATGGTCAACAATTCTATGAATTTCTATACAAACCATTTTTTGTGAAATCGACCGGTTGACTGTACCTTTCCCCATTTAATACACAGCAGTAAATACATGGACATGAAATATTGATTTATTTATATTGAGTTATTTATAAAAAATATTTATAAATTCAATCTAGCAATTGACTAATCAGAATCAAGTATTCCACTGAGCCACCTACTCTGCAGCCTTGGAACAAGAAGTATTTTTCCAATAGTGGTATTTAAAGTCTAAATTAGAGTTATAAGCCATGAGTTACAAGGTGAATAACATTTAAAATCAATTGTAAGCAATACATTGACAAAGACAAATGTGAGACTGTGTAGGCTAAAGCTTTAATGAGCATTAACCTACAACCTCGGGCAAGGGCCTCCGGCAGTTTCACATCAAGGTCGATCACAAATGCGTCACAGCTCTGAAACCTTAAAGAACAATCGACTGGTACCAGTCAGGTGTAAACCTGGAGACTTCCTCGAGTGCCTCCTCCTCAGGATGTGGAGCGCTGAAGCTGACGTGTGGAAATATTTTGGCTTCTGAAGTAAAAGGGGGAAAGGAGCTGGACAAGACCCACACTAGTTGTAAGCTTTGTAGAATTAAACTAAGGCCGTGTGTCTGTCCACCAAAGCGTTTTTCCATGCGCCTGGCGACCGGCGTATGTTTTCAATTGTTTTCAATGGGAGCGCCGCGTTTTTTAAACGCCATGAGCGTAACGAGGCGCTGAGCATTAAAACGAAACATCACTCATCACTTTTTACCCAGCCGTCCAATCACAGTGGAGGAGAGGCGGGACTAATACCACATTGACCAACTGTCACAACATTCTTTCAGAACATCTACATCAACCAACAGAGCTAAACGAGCAAAATGGATGAAAATTTAATTTTGGTATGCTTAGGCCATGTGTCCACCAAAGCGTTTTTAGCCACCTTAGTTAAAACGCAAGATGCTCTGCTGAAGACGCCATGCTTTTGGCGCTTGAGAGCGTTTTGGCAGCGCAGCGTTTTTTCCGTTGAGAGGTTTCGTTGCTATGATACAGAATATCCGATTCTGTAGCACAGTTAACTTGAAACTGATTTTGCAGATAATGCCGAGTTCAGACTGCATTATTTTAGCCACGATTTTGGCTCGCCGACAGGTTGAGAAATCGCCGACAAATGCCCGAAATCACAAGCAAATCGGCGCTCGTTCACGCGAGTGACAATCACGCAGTGTGAATGAACAAAGACGCGAACTGAGAGAATCACCGACGAGTCGCAGACGACTGTGAGATATTTGGCATGCTAAATATCTGGACCTGTCGGCGATTCAAAATCCTGCTGTGTGAAAAGTGTTTTGACTGAAAACTACATCGGCGATCACCGGCAGCCAGTGAGAGAGCAAGATACAGAGCAGCAGGGAGTTCGGGGAGGAGTTATAGATCACATATCAACATGATATGGCATTATTTCAACAAAAAAAGCTTCTTCTCGGTCTATTTGGACACAATAAATGGAAGAAAAATTAGTAGAAATTTGGCAGGAGCACTCGTGTCTGTTTCACCAGCTGTACCACAACCGGGTCGAAAAAAAAAGTCTCACGTGAGAACTCCGGTCTTGCACGTGTGGTGTCGCGCGTTGTTTCCTTTTAATATCTCACGCGTGTTTGTTGTGAAATGTAGTTTGCGTGCAGCGTGCTAGACAGAGTCTGTCGGCGATTTTTCTAAAGTCATGCAGTGTGAAACCTTCTGTCGCTGATCCATCGTCCAGTGTGAACACAGCAGCGACTGAATGCTGGCCAAGATAGTCATGCAGTGTGAAAAGAGCAGCGACCTGACTACTTTGAAAATCGTGCAGTCTGAAAGAGCCATAATTTGTTTCATACTAAAAATGTATTTTTCATCCATTTTGTTTGGTTAGCTCAGCTGGTTGATGTCGTTGTACAGAAAGAATGTTGTGACAGTTGGTCAGTGTGGTTTAGTCCCGGCCCTCCTCGACTGTGAATTGACAGCTGGGTAAAAAGTGACAGTGATGAGCGCTGCGTTTTTATCCAAAGTTGAACATTTTTCAACTCTCGGCGACCAGTAAAAAACGCTGGGTGCTCGGCGCTTCAGCGTGAAAAAACGCTCAGCGCTTCGTTACGCTCATGGCGTTTAAAATACGCGGCGCTCCCATTGAAAACAATTGAATACATACGCCAGGTGCGTGGAAAAACGCTTTGGTGGACACACGGCCCTAGTTTAATTCTAAAAAGCTTACAACTAGTGTGGCTTTATCAATTAAACTATTGATAATACCGATTAAATCGATTAATATCGATTAAAAAGCTTGCAATACATCTGTCTTTAAAGGTGTAAGTTATCATTCTAAATGAATGGGATGGGGGGTTTTTTGCACTCTATAATAATGAGTGGGTAGTTGTGTCCAAACTTGGATTGGTAGGTAATTCCAAGAGAGAATTTAAATGGTAAAAGTGGCCTTGCAAGTGTACTCAATTTCAATGACACTCACTAAGCTTGAACCACTGGTCAAGGAGCTGTTCCATTATTTACAATCAACACACCTTGGAAACTAAGTGAAGGTTGTACTTTTAGATGTTTGTCTCCGTATTAACGGTCACCAAGAATCTCTTTAAGCGCAAGACAATCATAAACTCACATGCAGAGCGGCTTAGTGCTTCGCTTTTAACGGATTACACGGTGTACTGACACAGTCCAACCGGACAGTAGGAGCAGGCCAGGCCGCGTGTCCGCACGCCAGATGATCACAGAGATCAGAGCTCTGCGTGTGCGCGCGCGCCAGCTGATGTGATGACAGTCACTGATTCCAACTGAATAAGCAATCACTGCACATTCGACTCAACGTGAGCACGGGGTCGGTGAGCGGCTGCAGCTGTCCGGTCCGGTACCGGATTGGTTGGAACCCCACAGTCATGGGACGACCTGGCCCAGTCCCACAAGCGCGGGCACCGTCTAACTCTTACATTTGACCAGGGACTATAAATAGCGTGCGGCGCTGGGTGGCACGCATAATGTCACTCTCAGCTGGGATAGGGATCATGGTTTAAGTGCGTAGGTGTCGGGTGGGGGTGAGCAAATACTGCAAACTCACAGTACGGTTTCTGCTTTGTTTACTCCAGTCAATATGAATTGGGCCGCACCAGCTGTTACTACTCTAGATCAGCACTGCACATAACGTTATAGCAGCGCGATCAATCTGCGCAGAATCCTTTCTCCTTCTTAATGTTTACTGTTTCAATACACATATCCCGCGGTTTGAAGTGCAAAAAGTCTAATGAAACGTGTTTAAGCGAATGCACAGATCGTTTAACATCGTTTTAAAGGCTTTATTCACAGTCATCCGCTAGCGCGCACTCCAACTCGGGGATTCGCATGTAAACAAGGCCATTTTTGTTCGCTCGATAAAGCCGCTGCTCTGATCGTTTAAAGCCCCCCGTCATACCCAACATACTGATTTTACTCACCTCCCGGACCGTGTCGGGTCGCCACTCGACGTCGGCTGAAGAGAGATTTTGGGACAGATAGCCGATCCGTTCGCTTAGAGGAGTCTCAGCAGAGCCGAAGATCGGAAGTACGAGGGGATTCTAGAGCGGCGTCACTTCCGTGTTCGAGTGAGGCTGTTTTCCACAGTGAGCAGACAGACTCCTGTTACTGGGGAGGGGCCACGAGACACACGAGCTCACATACTCAAAACTGACATACATACTTGCAGTCAAACACACACGCGTGCGCGAATGCAAATGTAGGTCAACAAAACAAGAAACCTGATTTATAATGTGCAACGTGCTTGTAAGTGCAAAGGCAAACAGAGAAAAGCACTCTCATTAAAAGCACATGCTTTAAGACCTAACTGCTTTAACATTGAAGATACAATAAGAAATCAATAAAAATATCGTGTATTATCTATTGTACGGATGTAGGTCACAAAATTACTTTACATATGTATTTAAAGTCAAGAGGTCTGTCCCAGTACCCACACTTGCAACATTGTACAACTTTTCAGTATTTTCCACTTTAAAATTAAGTTTAAAAAGTCTGTTTAGTAGTCCCTATGTAGCAGACGGCACTGAAGTAAAGTGACATGAAGTGAAGGCCAAGTATGGTAATCCATACTCGGAATTTGTCCTCTACATTTAACCCATTTAAGTTGGTGCACGCACATTAGGAGCAGTAAGTAGTGAAGTCACAGTAGTGAAGTTATTCCTGCCAGTACTGAGAATCGTAATTTAATCGAATTAAGTGATTAAAAGCAGTTGCAAACATTCACAAAATACACACTCATCTCAGCATAGAGAACAAAAAAGGCAACACTTTACATTTACCACCAAATAATATGTAATATTTAATGAATTTAATGTACATTGGAATTCTTGAAAATGATGATGATATGCTTGGTACTCTAGTGTGTGTGGCATTAGATATAGTTGGATATGGTTCATTATTTAAGACGTTTTGAAATCGCAGGACATTTCTTTCCTGTGTTGCTGTATTTCCTATTGAAACAGGAAGTTTGACTGAATTCAAATAACATACCATTACTCATACCATATAAAGATATTGCAGAAATCAAGTGATACAGAATTGTGCTTTTCTGAACACAGGAAAGAAAAGTCCTGCGATTTCAAGACGTCTTTCATAATGTGTTAAGTATATTCAACAGTATCCACTAAATTAGTCTGAAAGATTCATTTAAAAATGGTAAATAATCTACTGGTAAAATATGAATTATATAATTAGCTGTAACCGTTTGAAAAGATACTTCCAAATGAAATTTGGTTTCCCAATTATCAGCCAAAAGTACTATTCTGTGCACAACCAGATCAGTAGGTGGGCACCTATAAAGAGTGAAAGACTCTAATCAATGCCCAGACCTGTTCGAAACTCATTCATGGACACAAAAAGCTGCAACAAACTATTTGTTTATTTGCAAGGTTTTGTTTTTCAACAGCATGTTCTATAAAAATAATGTATTCTTTTAGAAAAAAAACATGTAGAGTCTTAACTGATGACAAATGCTTGACATCATCAAAATCCCCTGCATATGCACCTTACTGCGATTATACAAAGATTGTGGAGAGTAATGGAGAGAGGCTCACAGTTACAGATACTGTATGCACGAAAAGTAATAAAGGGCAAATTCAGTCACACTTTTTCAAAAGGGAAGAGATTTTTCTGCTCTCCGCGTTTCTCTCGTTTAGATACACGCCTTACAATCTTTTCCTCTTGTTCCTCTTGCCTGTTCTGCGGCCATGAACTAGCCAGAGAGGGTGGAGCTTTCTGCCCCCTGCCCTCTTCCTCCTCATCGGAGGACAGTCCTTCAGCCAAGCCTTCTTTCCCTTGCATAAGCTCCGTCCTCGATGCGAGCCCCTGTTGCCCATAGCGACGCTTCAGCCTCTCTTTAATCAACAGGCCTTTGACCAGCAGGGTCCAGTTAGCCACAACACGCTTCTCACGTTTCTGTTCAAAGATTCAAACAGTGATATCAACATAATATTTACAAAAAACAAAATTTTTTCACATTGAAATCAAAACACACACCTCTTGATCTTTCTTCTGTTGGATATCTTGCTCATTTTCCCAGGCTGCTTTCAGGATTTCTTGGTGTTCTTCGCAGACAATATAGCCATCGTTACTGAAACACAGTGATCCAGTCAATTTACAGATTGTACAGAATACATGTTTTATACAGACAGAAATGTATTCGTAATATTTTACCATGTATGAAATGAATGCAACAAGAACTGCCCATTTCTTACTTTCCACACTGAAAGTGAAACTGCTGTGAAACATACACAATCACAGCTAATCAGTGCTGAGTTCCAATTCACCTACTGTGTCCCAAATCATAGAATGTTAAAATGAGTATTGCAAAGGTAACCAAATATCCATGCACACTCTAATATTGCCCGTAATCATTGCAAACGGTACATGTGCGTGTCTGAAGGTTTAGTAGAGAGGTTTAGATAATATAGTTTGAGTGATTGATTAATAATCACTCTCACCTCATCTTGTGAACTTTTATAAAGATGTGTTTGGCAGATAAAGATGCTACTTCTTTTCTAAAAATCGATTGATAAGACCCTTATTCATCATCTGCAATCGTTTAAAGCCCTTTGAACAGTTTGCAGTTTGTACTGAACGTGTCTTTTGGACCTTGAACCGTTTGGTTCCCATTGAGTTGCATTATATGGAGAAAAATGCTGGAATGTTTTTTATCAAAAACCTTAATTTCTTTTCGACTGATGAAAGAAAGACACGGACATCTTGGATGACATGGGGTGAGTAAATTATCAGCAAAAGTTTTTTGAAAAGTGAACTACTCCTTTAAGAAAGTGAATTGCATCATGATGCATGAGTTTGGACCGATCACATTTCACCGTGGGTGGGGCTACACAGTACGAATCTGTGAAACCCAAACAAAGCAAGTGACAAAATGCCCACAAGTCCTGTCACTCAGTTGTGGTTGGATAGGAAAAAACATTTATAGCTTTTATCGTATTGCACCTGGTTAGGGCATGTTAAACGTATAAAAAAAACACAAACTTACACTGCATGTGCAAATCCACAATGGTAATCAAAACCCGTCACTGCTGTAGCGCAGTCTATGTTCAGTTTTCGAGCCACTCTGTGCAGATTTGGCAAATGCAGGTGAACACATCCTACTGGTAACATGCACGACTTAAACATGTACACATTCCCAAACTCATTACGTGGTACCTGAAACAAACAAATTCAGATTAGAACTTCAGCAAAGAACAGATCAGTATATCTCATGCAATTACGTTCTTAAATTTGATTAAAAAAATGAAATAATTCGAACCCACTTTGCCATCAACGGCAATCGGAGGCTGGTACTCTTCAGTTTGCCAGACTCCAAAAAGAGGCAGATCTTTGACACCTTTCTGCTCTGACATCATCCTGGCCTTACGAGAACGATTGGAAAAACCAACCACCATCTAACAGACAGCACTTAATATTAAAAACAAGTCATGGCATATTTATTGTACAAAGGTTAAATATGTATGAAAAAACATGTTAAACCATGATCAAAACAGACCTTGTATGGCTCTTCTCCTAGTCGAACTGTTCGTGCTTCTTTCAACCAGGTATCTCTAGAATGGAGCGTCTGCACACAGTCTCTAAAAAAATAAACAAACATCATTAACAAATGGCCTGCATTTCTATTTGTTCTAATATCTCAGATGTGGGAAATATGTCCACAAAAATGAAAAAGAATGCATCCATAGACTTAGATCACCTTTGCCATCATCTGATGCTCACATAAAGTGTTGTTGTTGTTAACTAAAACTATTAAAAATAGTTTTTGGTCATTAAAATAAGAATAAATCTGTAATATTGTATAAATACTAAAATAACACTGACTTAAAGTTTAAAAATACTATAAAGATATTACGATACCTGTTAAATGTAATCTTTAACGAATATCAAAATGAATATCCATTATTATACATTTGTTTGATAAGTTTGATTTTAGATTTGATGTTTTTGTTTAATTTATTTAGAAAATGGTATAGCGTTTCAGTATTGAGTCAAAGTCCCTTTCAAGGAAAGTCATTTCAATCTGCAGCAATATTTGAAACGCCTCCGGGCAGCTATTTTGGCCAACACTAAGACTACTTCTGAAATCGTATACTTCTCTACTATACACTAGGCAAAAAACACTGTGACAAAAGAAGTATGCCTGAGTTCACAGTACTCACATTAAAGAGTAGGCAAAAAGTACTCGGATGACCAACTATTCTCAGTGTCCATACGATGGCCAAATCTGGATTACATTCATACTACACAAAACCTACTTTTTTTAAGTGGTTGTTTAGTAATTACTTATTGAAAATAAGTACCTATTCAAAAGAGTATGCGATTTCAGACGCAGCCCAAGTCCTATCTACTTGAATGGAGAAATCCTAAAATCCTTGTTTAACTCGCATTTAAATAACATATTTCAAATCAGCAACAAAATCTGAAATAAACAGCCCCATAGATGTTGTTTCTTATGCTCAAATATTGTTAAAAGGCTTGACTAGCCAACCAGAGCTTTGAACGGCAGCTGCAGTGGTGCAATTTGCATTTTCCCCAATTCAAAAGCAATATGAGTGCACCGTCTTTGTATATCTAAAGTCTTTGGTTTAATATCTTTGTTTTAAAACGATATTTGGTTTCATATCTTTGGTTAATACTGGTTATTTGTCATAACATCAAAAAATGTGTGGTTTATCTGTATTAATATATTTTATAATTCAAACAGTATGCCTGTGTTCTAAAGCAGATTTACAAAAGGAATATTCATCCATCTTTCATATATCGTACATTATTATATTGTTGTGATACCTACATTCACTTGTAGTACACAAAATATATGGGGTTTACCGTGCATAAACTGGTTCTCCTCTGCAGTACCCCAGGACAGCGGCTGTAGAGGGGTAGAGGGCCTCGTATTTAAGCAGGTGCCTCTTAAGCGCGTACAGCGGATGGTTCTTATATTCTGCGATGGATGTCGGCAACGGCTTGTTCAGTAACTTAGCCTGCATCTGATGATGAGGAGCACAGGTGAATCTTAAATGCACGTCACATGTGATTTAGGCAAGTTAGTGTGTGAACATTACCGTTTAAAAGTTTGGGGTTGTTAAGACTTTGAAGAAGTCTCATATGTTCACCAAGGCTGCATTTATTTGACCAGAAATACAGTAAAATGATAATATTATGGAAAAATCAATAAATACAATTTAAAATAACAGTTTTCTATTTGAGTATACAGTATTGTAAAATAAAATGTATTGTTGGCAAAGCTGAATGTTTAGCATCATCACTCCAGTCTTCAGTCTAACATAATTTTTTAGAAATCAATTCTATTATGCTGATTTGTTGCTTAAGAAACATCTCTTCTTATTATCTGTTAAAAACAGTTGTGCTACTTCTTTTTTTGTGTGGAAACTGTGATACGTTTTTCAGGATTTTTTGACAAATGGAAAGTTCAAAAGAACAGCATTTATTTGCAATAGAAATCTTTTGTAATATTATAATTACCTTTAGTTTCAGTCCTTAGTGAATAAAACTATTAATGACCCTAAGCTTAAAGGGATAGTTCACTTTGAAATTAATTTTTGTTATGTTTTAGCTTACCTCAAGGGCATCCAAGATGTAGTTGTCTTTGTTTCTGCAGTAGTTTCAATTTTGATATTTCAAAATTATTTCAATTTTGTCTATGGTCATTGGTCACCACCTCAAAGATCACTTGGACGTGGCTGTGGTTACAAGAGGTAAAATATAAATACTGTTCGTTTTCTCACACAAACCGCTCGTTTTGCATCTTAGGCCATCAATGTGTACTTGCATTTATGAGTCATTAAATCATGTTTAATTTGGACTTCTCTGTGCATGCTCTTTGAGGTGGTGACCATAGACCTCCATTATATGACTGACAGACAAGAACGGTTTGACCTAAAAATATCAAAATTGAAACTACTGCAGAAACAAAGACACTACATCTTGGATGCCCTTGAGGTAAGCTAAAACATACCAAAAATGTATTTCAAAGTGAACTATCCCTTTAACTTACTGACATCACAAGTATAAGTGAGAGTGCAAACGTACCTCCTGATCCTCCTTCTGTCCTCGTTCAGTATCTGGAGACTTGTAGAGCTCCATAGTCTCCTCCCACCATTCGGAGTCGACGCGCCGTCGCCGTGATGATGTCAGCCACGTGGGGTCATACCTGCTGCTAAGATCTTTCAGGTAGCCCTCGTCATCTACGCCCACCACATAAGTGATCGGTTGAGTCGCCTGATCGGAACAGAGTTGGCCGACTCCTTGATCCACATCAACACACACCCACCTCCCAGTACTTTCCAAATAAACCTCCAACCACTCATCTATCCCTTTCCCCTCTTTTCTTTTACGTCTTGGTTTCCTTCTCTCTTTCTCTTCCTCCTCCTCCTCCTCCTCTTCACTTCTCTCCTCCTGTTTGACCTTGTTCGAACTCTGAGGAGCCCCACCTTTGCTTTTCAACTTTGATTTTCTGCATATTTTCATGGGCCCATCAGAGTCTTCACTGTCATCCTCATTGGTTGGCTGAAACTCCTCTTCACTCTGTTCCTCCTCCTCCTCGCTGCTGGCTTCTTTGTAGGACACTTTTGAAGCTACACTTCTTCTTCTGCTGTTTTTGGGTTTCAGGCCACCTGCTGCCTCTTTCTCTCCCCCTTCCTCTTTCTTTTTCTTTCTCTTTCCGCCTCTTTCGTCTTTTACTGCAGCAGTCGCTGATGATGGGCGTTTGGATCCAGAGGATATCTTAGGCTTTGGAGAGGGTTTCTCTGATGGATCTTTCTCTGGAGAGCTCTTGGTAGGTGTGGTCTTGTTCTAAAAGCAAGAAAAAAATGCTCAGTCCATTAAAAAATAAAAATAATTTCCACAAGCAAAAGAAACAGTGAGAATCCAAAAAAAAATCACCTTGGTGGCAGGTGGTGGCTTCAGAGGAAGAGGTTGTAAAGACAGCACCAAGCGACAGAAGAGTCGCAATGACCGCAGGACCAATAAGAACAGCTGTAGAAAGTGACATCACAGGTCAGAACCAAACTCAGTTAAACATCAATACACTACCACTCAACTCGGCTCGGCTTTGTTTGGTTTTCCACTGTGTAAAAGTTGTACCTGTACCTGTTATTGGGTACCTTTTTTTGTATCACCTCCGTTGAGGTTCTGAGCAAGCTAAGGCGATAGTAAAATGTCACGTGAAAACAATGCCGACTGCTGATTGGTCTAAGTGAATCATCACCATTCACTGTGTCATTATTGTACGCACCAGATGGAGTATCCAGAATAACCCTGCCATTTTTAAATAGTTTGGCCAGAGATAGTTAAACTTACTACTATTATTATGGCAACTCGGAAGAATACACCGTGGTCAAATGAGCGGTGAAGACTTTCCTTTGTTTGGTTGCTAAAGAGAGGATCCAGCGAGAGCTTGAAAGGGCAACGAGGAACGAAAGGCGTCGCTATGACGACCGGGTACTATTTGTGGCGGTACTGTCTGCAATGGAAAACGGAGCGAAAAGCGAGCTGAGTCGAGCCAAGGCGAGTCGAGTCGAGCTGGTACTGGTAGTGAAAAAGCGGCAAAAGTTTGGGGTAAGCAAGATTTTTTTAAAGGATTTAAAAATTTTATTCAGCAAAAATATAGAGCAGCACAAATGTTTTCAACATTGATAAATGACAATAATAAGAAATATTTTTGGAGCTTAAAGTCAGCATATTAGAATGATTTATGAAAGATCATGTGACTGAAGACCAGAGTAAACATTCAGCTTATCCACCACAGGATTTAATGAAATGTTAAAATAAAATAAAATAAACTGTTTTTTTAAATTGTAATAATATTTCACAATATTATTGTTTTTATTGTATTTGATCAATTAAATGCAGCCTGGTTGAGCATAACAGACTTCTTTCTAAAACATTTAAAATTTCTAACCAACCCCAAAACTTTTGAACAGTAATGTACTGTAGCAAAGTTACATTATTTTGTACATGATTTATGCATAATTCATCCACTATGAGGTCAAGGAAAGCAAGATCTCTCTCACATAGGTCATCTCCTCATGGTCCCTTGCTGATAAACAGCTAATTCGTTTTTCCAGCACTGTCCTCAACTCCACTCCCTTCTCCTCAGGTAAGGCGGGGTTTAATGTAAACGTCCCTTGAAACCTGGGAGAGGGTCACACCGCAAAAATAATTAATTTACATAAAACACAATCAGAGATTACTGATCCAATATTTGCATATAGCACAGGAATACTTGATAAAATTTGTCGTTTGCAGATGCACATTTTCCTGGCTAAATGTAAATTGTCTATTTCAAATCAGAGAGCAATCTGATTATTTAAGAGCCTGTTTAGACCTAGTTACTTCAAATGTTTTACTGACTGGATAGTTATCTGATTTGTTAAAAGGCTTCCATTTACCAACAGTTATGAGCAGCATTTTATCTATCATCAGCTAATTTCAAGATCAAAGATCACAACAGGAGAGCGGCATCAGCACTGGTAAGATCCTTTAGTCTCGCTACTTTTACACTTTGACGCATGTATTTTTTTAAAATTTAGGGAGTAAGATTTACAAGTGGCTTTAACAACCAGATCCATTTACACTTCTCAAGTTTTGCCTGGAATGCATCTCAAACCACCTCTATCACTCTCAAAAGCATTTTCATCTCATGATTGGATAGCTATCCGATCAGAGAAAACACATTAAGTTCCCTGGTGTAAACAGGCACTGAGACCAACCCAAAAAGAAAAATTCTGAAAAGATCTTTTACTCACACGCATATAGCTCTAAACCTGTATGACTTTTTTCTACTTTGGAGACATTTCTCAAATATCTTCTGATATGTTCAACAAAAGAAAGAAAGTCATACAAGTTTGGAGTTAAATGAGGGCGAGTAAATTATGACATTTTAATTTTGGGGTGGGATATGCCTTTAAGTGACCGAGAGTAATTTCCCCCAAAAAGGCAAATCAGGCTTACCATTTGAGAAGCCCCTCCAGAAAGCCTGTGTTTATGCGTTTTATAGCAACTGTGGTAAAGTGGGCAGGCAGTATTGACAAGGCAATAGCCAACAGGTCAGGCTCGCAGATTAGTCTGTTTCGAAACAAACCGCCAGCCAATAAGCAAAGCAAATGAACCTGTTAGAAAGAGTGAATAAGAAATCAAATCATATGCCAGTACAATACAAGTAAGTAAAAAAGTTTAAAAAAAATAAAATAAAGTGAGACCATCATATCGGCTGTCGATTTAACCAGTCAAAAAAAAAAAAGTCGAAAAAAATCGTATTCAGAAAATCGGATTTGGCATCAAGAGAGCTTCAGCAAACATCCACATCACCTATGATCAGAATCAGATGCTTTCTTAACTACCGTTTTCGCATTGCTGAATTTTTTTTTTTGTGTTTATTTTGTTATTGAAAACGAAACTTGCAGCAACATATTAACAAATTCATTTAAAGGGTGGTGTTCGGATGTTGGATGTTCCCTAACAGTATACGACTGCTCATGTATTTGGAACTTCTTTTACCCCAAAAAGAACTTTGCTGTGAGTATATCAGCGCCTCAAGGCTTTCAAACATTTAGTATGTGTATGTTTAGTTGGAAAAAGACAAAAACAGACATAAACACTACCTTGTGGGTATCCACCAGCAGCTCCTTGTTAAATCGCTTTACCGTTCGACGCAGATAAGTTTCAAACTCTGCCTTCCTTTTCTCCCTGGAAACAGTTGTCATGGTGTTACAATTTTCCTTTTAATCTTTCTAACCCTCACAGCTCCTTTTGATCTTGTGGGCATTTACCACATTAAAGAATTTCATCACTTAGCAATCTGCCACTTAATACACTCTATCTCTCTCTCTCTCACACACACACACACTCACTTCCTCTGCCTCTTGCGAGCCATGTCTGGAGTCTCGATCTCAATCTCCACAGGTTTTGACAGTTCTGCTAGTTCTATCGAGTCCACAGGACCCAGTGGTTCTGCCATCTCTGCGAAAGCACACAGTTCAAAACAGGGTATCATCAGTGTTTATGAGTGCTGAAAAACACACCAGCTTAGAACACTTACGTAATGAAATTGAAATGCATAAACATGTACAGTCTAAACAAATATCATGATTTCACAAAATGAGACTATGCACCTTCCACTTCCTCCCAGTCTTCCTCATCTTCACTCTCTTCCTCTTCTTCTTTCACTTGTTTTGATGGGCTCATCTCCTCACTGTTGTCACTCATGTCCTCTGGCTCGTCAGTTTTAACTTGGCTGTCTCGGAAGTACTTGCTTGTCCTCTCGTCAGAGTCATCTTTGACCTTTTTGGACACACGGGACGTCACCCTGGAGTTTGTGCGGTTGTTTTTGTCCACAATACCATTTTCTGAAACAGACAAGCAGGACATGGATGACAGCAGAACAAAGATGTACTAGAGAGAAGAAAACATTACCTCATCAGTCAATGCAGGACACACTTGACTGACATTTCAGTCTCCATTTTATTACTTAAATGTGTACTTTAGTCTAAAATGTTTTTTTAGTTTCTTTCTTCTGTTGAACACAAACAGATATTTTAAAGAATGTTGGTAAACAAACAATTGTCAGCCACTGACTTCCATTGAAGGACAAAAATACGATGGAAGTCAACTGTCTGGTTCCCAACGTTCTTTAAAATATCTTCGTTTGGGTTAAACAGAATAAATAAACTCTTATATTGTTTGGAACAACATAAGGGTGAGTAGATGACAGAATTTTAATTTTTGTGTGGACTATACCTTTAAAATTGACTCTATAGCACCCAAAACACACATGATCCCAAATATGTTCGCTGGACACGCCCACAATCATATTGGTGACCGGTGACATTCATTCAATGAACTGACAACAAGAAGGGTGTCATTTGAAATGCAACAAGTAACGTTACCGCAAGAGAACTCGTGCGAGAGTGGCTGCACACCTGCACTGCAGCTGTCTGCATCAACCGTGCACTAAATTCAAAATATTACTGTTCATTCATATTCATATTATTCTAAGTTTGAGCATCAGAGAGACAAAGTACACTTTAATGGAGCGTAAATACCTTTGTTTTTTGGGGTTTTGGATGCCGGTTTTTTCTTTGCAATCTGCTTCGGTTTCTTTGTGTCCGTTTTCTGCTGTGTCTCTTTTCTTTTTGCCATTTGCTGTTTCTGTGTGATCGCGGACTATTTCAGGACAAATGAACTCTGAGGCGTTCAGAGAAAGAGTGATAGACTTGCATTACACGTCAACGTCTTGTGTAATGTAACCTGAAGACCACTGTTACCCAACACAATCCCTTTCCCACCTTTCATAACACCGAAAGCATGCACTTTGCTTGCCGAAGATACGTCACATCCGCCTCTTCTAATGTTGTATAATTGCAATGTGGTGATTTAAACGCTAGGAGGAGATGTTGCTCAGACTTCTTTTAATTGTTAAAAGGTTAGTTCACGCAAAAATGATGGTTCTGTCACCATTTACTCACCCTCAAGTTGTTCCAAACCTGTATCATGAATTTTTTTCTTCTGCTGAACACAAAAGCAGATATTTTAAAGATTGTCGGTATCCAAACAGTTGATAGACCCCCTTGACATGCATAGTATTTGTTAGAAGTCAATATTCAAAATATCTTCTCAGAAATTCTACAGGTTTGGAACAACTTGAGGGATCTTCATTTCGGAGTGAACTAGGCCTATCATAGCATTAATCTCTAGCTTGATAATGATGATTTATATGGTCTTGACCATATAAAACCACTAGGATATTTTTAACAACACAATTCAATTTTACGTTTTATAGATCAATAAATGAACACACCCAGACAACTGTAGTTATTGTTTTATTAACTTGGGAAAATTTGAGCTATGATAAACACTAATCAGTGAGTGATGTTAAACACAGGTATCATAAAGATCATATTTATGATGTGGTGTGATATTAGCTTGCCACAGAACAGACAAGAAGTGTTAATGGTATGCAATTCTGTTAATTTATTGCAATTCTGCATTTCATATTATATAGGACATTAACCTCATTCAGTCAAGTTCATTAACATTTGGGCCTGACTTTGTATGTGTATGTGTGTGTACCTGATGCAAATGAACAGCTGTTTTAGCATCACTTGGCAGCAGATGTCCAGCTAGTGTGTGTGTGTGTGTGTGTGTGTGTGTGTGTGTGTATGAGAAAAAGACTTCAGAGAACCGTCTGTGTTCTTGATTGGCAGAGCAGAATCAGATATTCTCCCTGCAGCCAGCCAGACTCAATGGGCATCTGTGCCGGGACCGATGCCAGGGCAGGTGTATGTGTGTCACATAATTGGCAAAAGAAAGAGTGGTGTTTGGCACCAAGTCTCTATGACGACACAGTCCCCCAGCCCTGCATGGCTTCCATCCCTATATGAGTCCTGAGCACTCTCAGATAGGAATAAAAAGCCATACAGGGCAAAGAGCAACGGGAGAGATCTCTTTCAAACGTTTACACAAAATAATTCCATCTAATCTTTATGCCAGCACACAGAAAATGTGATTCCTTTTGTATGGTGTAGCGCGACATCCAGTGGACATGTCCGGTATTACAAGTTTCCCGTGGTCTTATATCGCACTGCAATCGTCACCACAACCGTTGTGAATGTGACCATTACAGGACAATCTTTCCGATACAACATTGACAAAGATAACGTCATATCCCTAAACTTTACAAAAAATAGCGCTAGATTTTACCCGCTGGAGCTAAATTGTCAACGCCAAAGTGTGAGAATAAACCATTTTTTGTGAATTCATTTTCCCTATGCCATAAGGTCGATGGCATCAGTAGACACATTTTTATAACACGGATCTCTGGCACATACACCTGTTGTCCAGACATTGCGGTGTCTGAGAGTAAAAACGTGAAAGCGCTGGCGAGTATTTTCTTTCCATCCGTGCACGCGCAACAGGAGGAGTATACAAAACGAGTCTCTCTGCATTAAAAAAAACTAGTAAAATAGATTAAATACAAGGCTGGTCGAGCTATGTTCTCCAGCGGTAGACTTACAGTTCGGTGCGTAAATATTAGCCGCGCAAATCGCCTCCCGTCAAACATGTCATTAGGATGACCAACACATGATGATGAAACGACTGGAAACGTCCGTGTGACATCCTTGCAACATTCCTGTTCACATAGGCCTACTGGTAGGCTAAATTAACATTTATTCTTTTCTTTTTTTTTTACCTCACTAGGTTAGCCTACAATACAATTTTTCCTAATTAAATATTATAACTGAAACTATTTGACTTTAGATGTAAATAAAACATTAGGCTAAGACTAAAATGCTAGGCTACTAGTAATAACTGGGATAGCCTAGATTGGCTCATAGGTAATAGGCAACTAATGGTAGGTAGGTTCTTGAAAAACTACAATAGGCAGAAATAGTAGGCTATTAACTAGGAATATAATGAGTAGGTAAAACTATTAGACCTGGAATATGTACAATCATTAGTTGAAATAGTCTTGTTGGAAAAGAATAGTTTACATAAACCATCTTCTCATAGGTTTCAATTACAAATGACAGTGGAATAGTACTCGTCACTATTTGGATAATAAAGAGTAGCCTACTGGAGAACAATTTAATTCTGAACATGAATAGTTAACAAGAAATGTGGAATTGATCGTATAGAAGACAGTCTGACTTTTATGGATTGCTAGAAGGCTAAATGTTTTTTTCAATGCATCAACAATATAAAAATAAAAGTTAAGGAATGAATGTTAATTGCGTGCCATACTATACCTTCTTTTCTGTTTTAACTGTTCGACGTAGACTCATTTTGACACAAGTTTTGCCCTGTAAGAGATAAGTGAGTCAGACAGAGATAGACAGAATAGCCCTTGATCGATAATATCAGTGACCGGATGAGAGGAGCCATGGCGCAGCAGTCTGACAGGAGAGAGGTGATGAACGGTGAAAGTCCGGCTGCTCCAGACTCCGGAGGGGAGAAGTCTGCGATAAAGCAGGGGCTGAGGTGAAAAGTTAGCGGAACGGCATTCCTCATTCCAAAGCATGGATCGGAACACGTCCTCCCGACCCAAATGCCCGTGTTTCCAGCTCCAGTGCTTCATTCGTATGATCATGAATAGGTATCGGTATTAGCGACTGTGAGCCAGCAGGTGGATGTCGCCTCGCCCAATCAGAGTGCCGGTTTCACGGGGCACAGCAGCGTCAGTCAGTCAGTCAGTCGTAGTTTGAGCAGCGTTGAGCAGATGTGCGCTCCTCCATTCACTCTCGCGCACAGAGGCGAGGGGCCGCCGCGAGAAGGGGTGGGGAGCGGTCAGACCCCCCTCCCCTGAAGTAGCCCGGACGACCAATGGCAGGCGAGCAGCGAGAACAGAAAGGACATCATACCTGAGCACGAGACCAACCTCCGTGTGCGCGCGGGGGATTTTCCCCCCTCATCTGTTAGAGAAGCGCGCGTTAATAAAGGGCTGCGGCCGCTGAATAGGGCCTTTTTTTAACCCTCTTTTCAAATACCGCCAGAAAGCAGTTTCTTTCTGCCTCTAGTACAGGAGAGACATTGGGAGTGTGAGCAGTAAAATATGTGTGTATGGGTGTGTGTGCCTCCAGTTCCTTCATCTTGCCCCTTCATTCTATGAACACCTCAACAGGACACCATGCACTTGCTCTGTCTCTCTTCCTCCCCCTTTGCTCTCTCCAATCTATGTGTGTGTGGTTCCCTTTTTATACTTTCTCTGGCATGTTGGTTGTCCTAACAACACTGTAGTGTAGATTCAGACCCTTGAGACAAAAGACAGCTCCAAGTGTCTAGTGAGAGAAGAAGAAAAAAAAAACCCCTTCCACAGCCATTTGGAGGGTTGACTGCCCCCCTTCTTTTCTCCAGCACATTCCACAGTGTTTCCTTGCGCCCTCTCTCCTCTTGCCCCTCCACTGCTGTCTCCCCTGAGCCGAGCGGGGCACATCACGGTGGAACGAAGAGGGAGAGGGATGGAAAGATGGGGTCGAAGGCATTTTTTTTTTTTTTTTTTTTTTTGGAGGCTGAGGATTTCTTTTCTTTAGGCGATGGCCATTTGAGGCAAATGTCAAATGATGTCACTCTTCCATCGGCTGCATGTTGTTTTTGTTGTTTTGCATTGTGACTGTTGAAAAAAAATAATTGTGTTGGCACTGGAAGAGCCTGGTTCGTACTTCCACTGCCAATTGGGATAAACCTGATGCCTTTTTGAAGTGAGTTGTGGTCATATAAATAATATACTAAATAACTTAAATTAAATTTAAAAGTTATAGTTCCTTAGGATTCATAAAATTCATAATGCTAGGAAGATGCATGTTACCTTGTTTTACTTTTCTCTAATTTTTTTTTTTTAGTCTGGCACTCAAGCGCAGGTTTTGTGTGCATAATTTATTCATAATGCAATGCATGCGGGGAGCTCATAAACCCAAAACAAATCAGAAACATTCTCCAATATGAAACTCTTAGTTCAAACAACTCTGTTATGTTGGATCAACATTAGAGGAAAATAGTTGGTTTATGTTTTATAAAGATTCGAATCCATTCAGCAGCTATTCAAAAAGCCCTGTAATAGGAATAAATGTAACTCCTTTTTTATCATAATAGCAAAAGAACAACAAATCTTATACTTTAGAATAATTCTGATGAGGTTTGAACACGGAGAAGGTGTAGAAAAATAAAACACCCAGAGCACTTATCCACCCAAGAGACACTCCCCCACCATCAGTAATAAGGATAAAAGAGCTGAGACACAATTGTGCATTTCTTCAATGATAATGGTGCGAGTTTGCATGCTTGAAGGACCCTGAATTAATTCTCCCAGAGAATGCAGGTGTTTGAAACATATTTGTAAGTGTCCACACAAACCTGAAGAAATGCAAATGGAAGCAATTGCGTGGAAGGACAAGACTCGGTAATAGCCGTATTTACAGAGTGCTGATCAGTAATTAGGAAGCCTGTCTCTGTCGGTTTACCAGGCAGAGGACTGTGGTGGTTTCTCTTGTGAAAACCACTACCTGAGTTTCACAGCAGAAAGTTGGGCACACCTGCATGTGCGATTAGACGGAGGGATTGTGCGAACAGCAGCGTCGGCCGTTGGAACAAAAAGAGGGACAGGAAAACCATGAGAGTCATCTGGTCTGCAGCGAGGCTCCCCGTCAGAATTCCACGCTCAGCTCTCTGGACGCCGCACCAGCACAACCGCACAATGAACTGCATAATCAACTGGGATTTACCTAACAAAGAACAGCCCGCCACACATGGGCACACATGCACGCACACACCAGGGAGGGACAGACACGCATGGCACCTGAAACACACTCGCTCAAGCACAAACACACAAACACACGCACAGCTGAAATAAGCATCTACTAACAGTTTTAGAACCACTGAATCAGCAGCTAGACCAGTGCCAAATGAGAACACAACCGCACACGACTACACAACATACTC